TTTGAATGGCTTAGTTTAAATATATTCGTTATATTTACCTGCTTGCATGAAATGACAATAAATATTAACGGTACTGAATGGTTTTTACATCTACCTAATCAAGTGCTTGTCTACTTGATTAGTGCGAATTAAACAAATATATTATATGATTAGAAGGAATCTTCATGATTTTTCTAATCTACTAAAAAAAAAAATAAATAAATAAAAAAAAGATTAACTTATAGTGATAGTGTCAAAGATTTCTTGCTACAATTTCTTAAAGTATAAAAAAAAAATAGATTTACTAAAAAAAAAAAAAAACAAATTTATTAAATTGAGGTAAAAGTTACTTAGTAAATACCGCGATCACCCAAGGTAAACTTTTTAAAGATAAATTTTTATGTTTCATAGTTTGGATATCAAATTCATGTAGTATTACTCTATCGTTTGTACTATTTATACATATAGGTTTACTTAAAATTTTTTAAACTTGCATATTGCTTTAAAACTTCTATTCGAGCCTTATATATATATGATCTGTGTCATGTTATAATATAAAAATTTCTTCAGTTGAGTGCCGGATCATCAATTAACCAAGCCTCATTTGGTTTTAAAGAAGTATAATTAATAAGCATAATTCGAATATATTTCCATTCTTGAATTAAGTTATCAATTTCAATAAATGGCGCATAATAAACTTCTACGTATATATAAAAAATTCTAAAATTTAACAAATTTTAAATTATTAAATTAATTATAGCTATTATTATTTACCTTGTATAGTTTTACTTGTACCATAAAAGTTAGCAATTAATGCAATTTCTTTATTTCCATATTCAGTTGGTAATATTGTTTCTAGCAAATTACGTGAGTCAAAAATATAAAACGCATTAGTAGTCTCATGATCGGGAAAACGTGCTTGAAGATTTTCGAGCAAATTGCTGTATATGCGGTGGAATATCACTTGTCAAAAGATCTTCTTCATACATAAATTGACGTAAGTGATTTCCCCATGTAGGTTCTTGATTATCAGTTCCTAAAAAATTAAATCCAATTTTTTGAATTACCATATCGATTTGAATTTTAATCTCATACAATGATATATTATCAGCTTAAAAAATAAGTGTCAAATGTCAAAGATCACTGAGAATATCAGCCAAAAAACTTGTAGTAAGTAAAAATTTCTGATCAATTATATCAAATAGTATATTAGCAGTTTTTGATATTACATAATTCTCTTGAAGTGCTCAGATTACTGAATTAATTATACGATATAGGTTAAAAACAACATTTGATAACGATAATCAACGTGTAGTTACAATTTTTAGTAAGTGGAGTTCAGGCTCTTCTAATCGAGCTTCTATCATTTTTAAGTGTTTTATTCGTAAATAAGAATTACTAAAATAATTATAAAGACTTCGAACAATATCATTATATTCAGCTAAATATGGAACTGCAGATGCCGCATTTTCACTTGCTAGTGCCAAATAATGAGAAATACAATGATGTTCTATAAGATAAGGATTTTTTTTTTTAAATTGAGCAGCAACACCATTATTACGTCCTTATTTTAAAAATAGTTAAATATTAAAAATATATTACTAATTTTAAATTTAAAAAATTTATTATAGCTACCTAACATTACTGATGCACCGTCACTTCCTATATTCATTAGACGATCAATTGGCAAATTTTTTGCTTGTATAAAAATACTTAATTCATTGACAATTGCATCTGCTGTCCCTTCCTTAAGCTCAATCATTCCCAAATAATGATAAACTGGTAAGTTTTTCGAAATATGTTTAGAAATAATTGCAAGATTCTTATCTATTGTAACCGTAATACTTTCGTCTATTATAATACTCCAAACAGGAGACTCCTGAATCTCTTAGCAAACAGCCTCTTCGATAACTCTTCCAATAGCATCAATGAATTCTCATGCTGCACGTTTATTAGAATAGCTTCCATAATCAGCACATGATTCTTCTAATAATTCAAATAATGGATAATCAAGAGTATAAATTTCTAATGAAGTATGTATCTCTTCTGTATACTTAACATGATATTCGGTTAAAGATGTATAATCAGTAATTTTAGATGTTGCAACAAGGTTTTTTGCCAACCAATAAGTATTTACTAAATTCCGAATAACAGATAAGTGACTAGTTCCAAGTTAATTAGTAAAGCCTATTTTAAGGCTAATTTGTAACTTATCTCGTGTCTTTATTAATTTTTGATGATCTTTAGTTTCTATATGTTGTTTAATTGACTGTTCTTTAAGATACTCACAACCAGTAATGAAATTATTATTCAATTTTGCTGATTCACAAAGCTTACAAAACAAGGCAAGCTTTTCTTTTTTTTCGTCTAAACATAACCAAGGGTAAGTTATTTCCCAAATAGGATTCCACTTAAGATTTTCTTTTAAAAGCCGAACAACTTTTGGCTTGGATCTTCATAATCACTTGAAAATTCATTATCAGAATTATTCTCACTTAAACTAATTACTTGATCTCTATCTAAACTAATCATATCATCCAAACTAGTCGTATTGCTAAATACTAATTTCTCATTAGCTAAAATATTGGTTTCATATTTTTTAGCACTTTTTGCAATGATAAAAGGGGTTTCTAATGTATTATTAACTTTTTTTTCTTTTTTTTTTTCTTTTTTTAACTTCTTCGAAATCATATTTAAAGTAAAAAAAAACGATGCAAAATTATATTTGCAAAAATAATTAAGATAATTTATATATAACACAAGACAATATTGGAAATGTGTGAAAAACAGTAGAAACAGCATTCATAGAAATATAATCTGTAAAACAATTTTGGTTAGTGTGTGAATGAAGAGTTTATTAAGATTCTAATTATTCACATATCAGGGTATTTTTTGATGTTATTAATTATAGTACTCTGATAGTAGAAAGTTAGTAAACCTGTAAGTATGTACAATTTAAGTATTTAATTAATTTCTTATTTTAGAAATTATGATATAATTCATTAATCACAACTCCATTGTTAGATTCGAATATAAAAAAAAGCTATCAGGTGTAAACTATATCTGTAATAAAAATATCTTGAGCAGTAGGAAACTTCATTCCTGCTTGCATGCAGAGATAATGATTGGGGCATTAATATAATAATCATATCTTTTCATTTGCATACTCAACTCTAACATGTTTCATTTAGTAATCTAATTGACCAATTAACCAAATCTGATATTCTTTAATTATAAAAATAATGTGGAGTATCTATAAAAGAATTTTAAATTTTTTTTTAGGTTTTTGAAAACTAAAAAATATCCATTTTTAATAAAAAACTATTTTCAGGGCACATCTTTATGTTTGATTAAACAATTACATTATTTTACAAACCTGCAGGTTCGAGAAATCATTTGATAATATTGAACCTATAGTACAACTTATTGCTTATATGTATAAGTTTAAAATTAATTAAATTCATAATTTGCAACATGTGCAGATTTAGTATGTACATATGTACGTACAGTATATAACTAATTATTATTTTTATTAATTTTATATATATCTTATGAGAACATAAATTATAAATTTTATGTTCTTAGTTTGTTCTCAAAAGAGAACATGATTTCTAAATGCAGTGTTCTCAAATTTTCTTGAATGTTCTTGAGAACATTGAGAACATCAAATATTCTTCACTGATTGCAACTACATTATCATCTACAGAAGAATCTTCTCTATGCTTTTTTATTTTTCCTAAATCATGTCTTTTTTTGAA